CTTCAGTTTGTGGCGAATATTGCTTAATGTATTTGCTATATAAGTTTCAGGGATGTTCAATGCATAGTTTTACGAGTATATTTACAGAGAACACATTGTACAACGATATTTTAGTGGATGAGATGTTTCGCTCCTATTTTATAGATAATAAGTAATAAGATTTTGTATTTCATAAATAAAAATTTTAACAAAATTAGGTAATGTGTTTTATTGATGATTCAGATTAGTGTTGTAGATAGGAACAAAGGAGTATAATACAATAGCATAAGCCGACCCACACGCTGGACGAATAATAGATAATGACGGTAGTTATTCAACAATAGATAAGTAGATAAGGACAATGGAGCGCTAATGACGGTTGAGGCTCGCAGCGGATATCAATTTAGGATTGTGAGTCGACGAACGTCGTGCGCCAGAACTGGTACAACCTTTCTACAAGTGCGCCAGAACTGGTACAACGTAACTACTCTCATTTCTCCGACGGGAGGGGCTAATGACCAGCAGGGTACTTTTATGGACCTAAAGAAGATAGTTTGAAAAATAAATTGAGAATAAAAGCGCATTTCTTTTTTTCATCAAAAAGTACGAGTAGATTCAAACCTCACCGCTTCAAGAGTTCGTAAAATACTAAACAGGTAGGTATAATATCAAATCGCAATCCTCGTCGTAAGGAGTTTAAGGGATTTCGTTCCAATGTTCTAAATATTAAGATTTATTCAATTAAAATTAAAATTTCAATTTTGTACTATTAAATACACAACATAAATTATATTCTTAATAAATGTTCACAGTTTTAGTGGTGAAACTTGTTCGTTGTTCGAATGAAACTACATCTTATGCATTCAAGTATCTATTGTTTTAAAAATGTTTGTTCTACCCGAAACTTTAATCTTAAGATTAGATTATAAGTGTGTACCATATTTTGTTTATCAATAAACATTATTATTATTATTATTGTTTCTTGTCCATCAAGTGTATAACAATCTCACCTGTCAATTAACAAATCATGATCTGACGATAGACTGGTTGATAAAAATAAATAAAACGTAGATAGAGTTCATATACCTCTGACAAGCTATGAGGAGCAGCATTTACCAGTTCGAGGTTGTCGGGCTCGGTTCTGAGCCCGCACACAACTGGAAGTTGGTAGTTACTACTTAGAAAAATGTGAGTAAATATTTAGAAAAATTCTCACCCAATTATTGTTTTATATTTATTTCCAATAGTGGCAACAAGTGGTTGATGAGAACGGAGTAGGAGCCTTGAAGCACTGATATTTTACAAAAAATAAAACAATTTTTGAATTAAATAAATTAATCAATTAAAACCTACTGAAATTCAAATCATATCCATCCTGCTTTATGAACGGCAATAAAACAATAAATTTAATAGGTAGGCATCTTTGACCTTTTCACTTCGCAGGGTCACAGGCTAAAATATCAGTGCCATAGGCTTCTACTCCGTTCACATGTTACACCCTATTTTTTCCAGACGGTAAAAAGGGTCATCCAGTATTTGTTTAATCAAGAGGGTGGTTCATAGCTATGTCAGAATCCGATAAGCAACGCCGTAGTTAAATTATTAACACATGGCTGCGTTTGAGAGAGGGGCTATCCAGGAAGATAGTTGGAACTAACTAATTTAAATATATATTTGTAAAGTACATTTTTACCATCATGAATTTTTTGTATTTTATTCATGTCAATATATTACTTAAACTATATTGCACAACACTTATAAACTTCTACCTTTGTTGTGGTTGAGGCTTTTTCTGAACGCACCCATTATTGTTACTAACTCACTGGTCTAGTAGCTGTAAGCATGTCTAATGCTCATGTGGCACTAGTTCGAATTCAGGGTCGGACTAAAATCTGTTATTGGTGTTCCTGGCAAGAGACTCAGTAGCAGTACGGAGTCAGAAAATATGTGGTGTTTCAAGCCCAAGGAATTACGTAAAGCCGGTGGACCTACACTTGATCTCTCTCCAGTCGTGTCATATTGTTATCCCGTCGAACTATGAAAATGAAGGAATAGACCTGCGCTTGCAATAAAATTTGTACATTGTATCCTGTCCTGCGCAGATGGCTGGTCTACGTTAGGACTCGTCGCTGTGAAATTTTTTAACAAAAAGTTGCCGAAACCGAAGGCATTATTTATAGGAAACTGACGGAATCATATGTAGACTATTTAGCCTGTCCGCAGTCGTCTTCTGGTTTGCCTTGTTACACCAATCCATCCCTTTCCTATCAGAGTCCACTGCTGAACATAGGCCTCTTCAAGGATTGTCACCAGTTTTATATTCTAGTAATTATTACGAAGACTCTGCTGCCCATCTCTTGGTTTGTTTCTTTCTGTCGTTTTTACTTTACTCATGGGAACGCACAATTGCCTAGGTTATTTGTCCGCCTACGTATGAGAGACCACTACTACCATACTACTAGACACAGCTACTACTACCTGCTTGGGACCCTATAATTAATAAAATTAAAACAATCCAAGCATACTACTGCAAGACTTCAAAACACAGTTAGTTCATTCTGCGTAGATCGGACCAAAGACAGTAATTAAAAAGCTGAAGGTACTCCGTGTTAACTTTGATATCGGGACGTCAGTCACCTCAGTCCCCTGTGACCATGGGTGCTGGAAAGCACCCGAAACGTCAAAAACGTCAAAAAATATGGGGAAGTGGATATTCTTATACCACCACTGTACGGATAGTCCATGGAGATGTTGCAAAATGCTCTGTAGGAGCTTTGGACACAATGGAAAGGTGTGCTAAAGAGCTTGGTGCACAGGCACAATGTAGCCAGTATTTCGCTATGTTTTACTCTCTTTCGAAACAAATGGCTTGCTTCGTCATTTATTCTGCGTGCAGCAAAGGAGTGGAATAACTTGGCAGCGTCTGTCTTTCCATCCCCTTTCAATGAGGGTTCTTCAAAGCAAGATTGAATAAGCTTTTTAGTGCTTAGACTGTGCACTTTACCAACTTCGGCTGCAACACTGACTTATGATAGCGTTACGAGCTTAGGGTTCGTGACAATAAAAACTGCCGATTGAATTACGAAAATTGACACTTTAGTTACTGAACACCAATTAAAACTAAAATCACACTAATAATTATTCACACTTAACACTTTAGTTCACTTTATTTCACTCCAAAAGCTTCGCTTCGGTCGCGGCCTCTAATGGCCTTAAATAGGCCTTTTCCACCGAAATATCCAGAATGTTCCAGGAAATACCGATCCCGACCGACTAAGTGCAGAAAGTTCAAGTGTGGACCCCTCTAGAAAGCTCAATTCTTCTATGCGATACTAGATGGCGCTGTTGGAAGAGCTCTAGAAAGATCTTGACGTTCCTATTTCTGATACTTGATACCCGATGGCGCTAGTGCCACCAACTGTGGCGCGCAAAAATAGTAAAAAAACTCGAACTAACAAAATGAGTATCTTCGTTCTAATTTATTTTCTATGTGAATCAGCTAAACTCAATTACATGGTTGACATAAATAAAACCAGGTTTCCAAAAAGGCTTAAGTCAAACCGACCACACCGAGTACAATCTTCCATTTTCTCATGCTTTTGTGGACGCATTTTTCTCTCGGTAGAAAGCAAGCAAGCTCGGTAAATAGTACGGTTTGATTGATTTAATGGAGAAATTTACAATAAAATATTTTTGTATGGACCACGGATTTGTTCCGTGGTATGGACTGAGGGACCTGAGTTTAGATAATTTGTGTCGTTTATCTACAAAACTTTGTAACTTGCTATGTAGAAAGTAAGCTTTATAAAATCTATACTTAAATATCTGTAATCATATTAACTTGATTTTAGAATACTTTGCGAGATCCAATTGATTAGACTATGAAAACTGAGGAATCACTATTTCAGAACTGTATTTTTTTAAATATTTTTCACTGCAAATCCCAAGTTCATTGTAGAATTGTTTAAGGTCTGCTACTAAATCATCAGAAATTTATCTCGCACCTTTCCATCTTGGCCCCTCAATGCACTTCATTTTTCAGTGATAACGACGGGAATCTAATTATCGAATACTATTCGCTCACTATGGGAGCCGGCATTTTGTATAAAACTTTATTATTAATTAATTGCATTTATAATTGACATGGGTTAAATGTATGTGATAAGATAGGATAGTGATATTTGTACACTATGTATAATCAAAACACGAAACTCAATAGGACGTTCATAGGTTACGTTTAAAATAAAAAAATTATTAATGATGTCGTATGAGAAATAATAAAACACGTGTTTCCGGCTATATCGAAAACACTATTAAGAATATTATTCGTTTTGAATTAGGTAGTGTACCTAATAATCACCTTGCAGAATATTTTTAGAAAATGTTTAAGTGTCCATTATGGATTTTACAGCACCTATAATTTATTCTAAGTCGTACGTAATAATAGGTATTGTGCAATTGCTCAGGTAAAAACACAAAAGTATGATGTCAAACCACGTAGTCGGGAACGTCCGCTAACAATAGAAATAGATTGTTGATTTATTTCTGTCTTCTAACAAATCTTGAGTGCATGTCAGCAAGGAAATAAACAATGTTTTTGTATTTCGTCGTATTATATTTTATGTAATAATATGTATATATATATATATATATATATATATATATATATATATATATATATATATATACGATTTAATTTATGTGTGTGTGCGTATATGAATGTGTATTTTGAATTAAAGGTAACCGATTTAAAAATATTTAGGACAACAAGAGTTCTTTCCGAAGTCGTTTAGTCACACGGCAGCTATAATTGTCAACCAAACATCATCAATCAATCAGCTAAGATACGCGACTAGATGCGGGGTCCGGGTAGCGGTGGGCGGGACGCTCACCTGATGCCCGAGCGCTGGCCGTCCACCGCCTCCGTCAGTCTACGTCGCGATTCCGTCTGAGCGTCGGCGTATAACGCGTTCGCGACTTTGCGTACTAAAATGCCTCTTTATTCTGAACACATATCAAATATGTATTACAGTGGAACCCCTTCATATATCAGTTCACCATATAGTTACAGCAGTTCGTTTACCCCATTAGGAACGTCATATAGTGCTTCGTATCTCAATCCTGGTGCAAGTTACAGCAATCATTCATCTTTAGGGGGATATTCCCGAACACCTATTACGACGAGATGGATTTCAAGTGGAAGATCTTATTCTCCAATGCTCAGCACCATATCAGAACGTGGTAGTTCAACTCCAGTGCGAATTAATAGTCCCAGGAGGGCTCCGATTCCGAATAGAATTACCAGAACATATGTTTCTGCTAGCTACACTCCCCGACCAGTCAATATTAATACAGCTGATATTGATGTATCACAAGACAAATACAGAAATAAAAAACAAAATTCAGACGACACTTCACTACAATCTCAAACAGAAAACTTAAGCGTCGAAGAAGACAAGTGTCCACTAGAACCGAGAGTAGAAGATAAACCTAAGACTGGTATAGATACTTCACCAGGGGTCCAAAAAGGTGCTATTAAACGTGAACGTACAGTCGTAAGATTGCACACCCTTAAAAGAAAGGAAAGAGACTCTCCTCGTAAGCCGGTTGAGGAATTACAAAAACGAAGTGATAATATTAAAAAAGAAGTCATACTTAGTGAAAATAATAATAAGGAAAATTCTGTAGAAACCAAAAGATGGAGAGAAAAATTGTCTGAAGATTTGATTTACAAAGACACAAGAGAAAAAAAATCTTTAGGAGCCAAGCTTGTTGAAAAATTTCAAGTAAAAGACAAGGACAACGATAGTGATAATAATAAAAATATTGCAAATAGATGTGAAAGTACTGTATTAATACCCTCGCAACAACCTAACATAAAAGTTAATAATAAGTCACCAGATAGGCGGTGTTCAATGGAACTGTTGGCGGAACAGGCTTCTTTATTAGACTCGTTAATAAGAAGGGAAAATCTTAGCACTGCAAGTTTAGATTTAAGTAAAGTAGGCACAAATGTAAGTAATTTAAATAATAATTTAAATAATAATATAAATAATTTAAATAATAATATTAACAATGTTGACGTTGAAACTTCGAAAAAGTTTAAACTTCCGGAACAAAATTTACCGATTACAAGTACAAAATCAGATCATTCATTACATGATCGACTTAATACACTAAAAGATCAAAAACATACTTCAACAAGAAGAAGTATCAAAAAGTCATCGTCAGGAAGCAACATTCCTAAACTAGACGCAATAACTGAATTTCCTAAACAGCTTAGCCAAAACGTTCTACCTATTATTGAAGAAAGTAGACAGTCAGTGAAAGACGGAAATATCATTGAATCTAAAACAAAACCTGTATTAAAAGCAAAAATTACATCTACTGTGGAAATTACACCACCATCTAGTCCATTAAGATTTAAGGTAGAAAATATAACTGTTGAGGAAAAGCCTCGGATACAAAAGAAAGAAATTTGTTTCAGTAGCATAGTTGAGAACAACAATTATTCACAGTTAGTGAAAACTAAGAAAAATAACACAATTGTCAGTGATCCTGTATCGCCTGAACCAGAGGATGGCAATTTTTGGAATAAAATTGGAAAACGGGAGACAGTATATATAAAATCAAGAAAGCAAACATTAGAAGAAGCGAAAGAGAACCAACAACATGCCTTATTTTGGTTTCCAGAAGAAGAATGTAAGGAACACTCAATTATAAATATCAATATCAAAAATATATCAAAGGATGAAGAAAAACAAACCAATAAAACTGAAGTATATAGCGAGCAAGAAAATATATACACAAGAAATGATGACAAAGAAAAGTGTCTTGAAAATACTCTGCAACCAAATTCACAAACGAATAGTAAAACTCCTCAGAGTGATATATCTACCAAGTCATCTGTAAATACACAATCAAGTTTAGACATTAAAACAAAGCCTACGAATAATGAAACCGTACTTAATAAGGGAACAAAAGAATTGTTCGAAGTAAAACAAGGCACATTTGAAAAAAATAAACAAAATGTTACAGAAGACTCGCAAGCATCAGAATTGGAAACAATAAAGCAAAGCTTTAAACAAAAAATAACTAGTAACACAATATTACAAAATAATAAATTAAATAATGAAAATTTATCGATCATTTCTTCAGATAATAAATCATGTATTGGGTCAATGCATAGAAACATGATAGAAGAAAGAAAAGATAAACAATTTTCATCTAATGACAAGCTTAAAAATATAAAGAAAATGTCACTAAAACAAGATGATGAAATAACTGAAGATATCATATCAATCAGCAAACAGATTGATAAAGATTCTACTGAAAATGTAATAAATGAAGCTACTTCAAATTTAGCTAGTGGTGCAAATAGACAAAGTGAGTCTGATACTCAAATATGCATTGAGAAAGGGACAGAAAAATCAAAACCAGATAAATTAATTTTAAACGAACACATTCCCATATCTAAAAACAATGAAATTCTGCACGAGCTAATAAGTAAAGACAATAATAATAATACAAACATGGAGAATAATGTACTTAATATGGTCAATACTGAAACTGATGGAGTTGCTTTTAATAAATTAAACACAATGGAGTTATGCAAATTTGAAACAACTGAAAACATTTTAGTTTTAAGAGAAAATTCTGATTCTTGTATAAACAGCGAGGATAATAATAAAGACAAAAATAGTGTTTCTATGATGCTCTCGAAAACTCAAAACATTCCAAATAATAATACTGAATGTAATTTATTAAATGAAGAAGAATTAAAAGCAAATAGTGGATACAATAATGTGACTCTACAAAAAGATAAAAAACAGCATATTAAACAACCTTCGATTAATAAATTATTAAATCCGAAACCGGCTAAACCTGTGAAGGAGCAAATGGCACTAAAGCCTTTAATAGCGACACCCCGGCCCCTACAAAAGAAAGTTCCACAGTTGATTCATTCCTCCAGTTCCAGTTCCTCAGAGACAACATCTGATGAGGAAACATCAGATGAAGAAGGAGATGTGTCGAATTCAAGTGATGGTTCAGGAGAGTTTTACGAATGTGACAACAATCCAGATGGTAGAACATCAACTGGGTCGAACGACTCTGGCTTCGATTCCTCTGCCTCAACATCGCCCGCTGGATTTAACTGCGTTAGAAAAGGTAAATTTTGAATTGGTTATTTTAATACATTAATAATTCATAGGTAGATACAGAGAATTACTAAACATCTTTTGTTTTACTAACGTTGAATTAAAACTACTAATTTTATAATATAATCTCTAGGTCCTATATTATAGAAAATGCACGACAGTTTCTGCATGATTTTCTATAAACACGATGTTTCCATCCATTAATCTAATATTAATTTTTTAGTTTTCATATTGATTTTTTAGACTGCGATGTAAACTGCCATAGAAAGTGTGAGAAATTAACAGCGAACTTATGTGGGGTAAATCAGCGGCTTCTGGTCGAAGCTCTAGCGTTTCGAACTGCATCCAAAAGAGGTGGGTACAATGGAGCAAATTAAATATATTAAGAGTCAAAATTTTAAATAAATAATTCCAGTTACTGAGCATCACAATTGCATCCGGAGCCATGCTTTAAATAAAAGCACATTTTATTTTTCAAGTCACATGCATTTTTCTTCGTACCATAATATTACAATATGGCGCATTTTACAACAGGGTTATTTAATGTGAGAAGTAATTAATTTTTCCTTATATCTGCTTTTTTCTTATTTAATGTGAGAAGTAATTTTATTCATTATTGTAAATCTTTTCAAAGAAGGCATTCTGTTTATTATTTATTTATTTGAAGAGTAAATGTTTTCGTAAGCGTAAGATGCGACTAAGGATGGGACTACGAATGTATGCAGCTGGATGGAAGCCAATCACTCAATACCTGTAATATGTAAATGATAATACTATTTACTAAAATAGACTTAAGTTTTAGGTACATTCAATATATAAAGATATTAAAAATCGTAATTTGGATTTCAATTTTTATTTACGGATTATAAATTTATAATGATTCTCCTCTTAAACCTGTATTCAACCCCTATATCCTGTATTCTTTAAAATAAACTATAGCGAACAAAAGATATATATTATGTATGTAAAATGGTTTTTTTAAAATACATTTAGGTTAATAATTAAATTTATTTTAATTAAATTATTATTTGAGTGTTGGTATTGACTATTTATCGTTTGTATAAAATGCCTTCCATTTTTCAAATAAATTCTCGTCATCATCATTTATTTTACCAAGCTCACACAAATTGCACGAGCTCCTTTTCCCGCGCCTCATCAACCAAATTGTAGTTACTATGATTGTCGATTTATTTGGCCGCACATCAAACGTTATGTATTTTTATAAAACCCATTTCACTGGGAGAGTTGATCAACGTTCTTATCGTGGATAGTACACTATGCCGATTTTTAGCGAACGTAAAAAAAAACATTATATGGTATATATAATTTATGGAATGACACTTTAAAAGAATCAGTAGTTAGATTTTTGTTAATAAACTAAAGAGCTAAGAAATCTTCGGGAGATTAAATGTTAACAAAGTTAGGTTCATGATTTTGATTTATATTATAATATTTACGCCGAAGGAAACTGTTATACTAAATGCATATTTTTCAATAACTATGCAATAGTTTATTAAATATTTAAAAAAAAAGAAAAGGAAGAGATCCTCTGTTTTATTTCCTTCTGTGGCCTCTTACGACTCACGGTTTCTTTAAAAGTTATCATATCATTATTAGTCTCGCTAGGTTTCTTACTAGTTCTTTCCAGGACAGATGTTTTTTCCGAACCTATGGAAAATAAAAAAGGTGACTTTCAATAAGTATTATTTATAATCTATATTGAATAAAAAAGTTTCTTTTTCCGTTTCTGTTTATCATTCCGAATTGAAAAATACAACTGTTCCACATTTAAAATGATGTTTATTCCCTCTGCGGCAGCAACATGTCGGGAACCATATATATAGTATATAATAAATATATGTATCTAGCACATAACTGAACTGAACACCAAGGACGCTGGCACTTGTATCAAATAGACATATTTTATTTTCGTTAGATTGTGTATTATACTAGTAATAGTGGTGCATGCTTCATTAGACGTATGTACAGGTGGAGATTGTCCCAGCACATCAGCAGGAAATGTTCCTGCGCAGGCTTTAGGCACAGATATCTTAGAACGAGGACTGGGTGAGACATACGCCGTATTATAATACATTGCATGCTTATTTACGTAGTGTATTGTTTCCATTCTTTTGATGTTATTTCTGTTTTCGAAATGCCTGGTTTCGTTTGCCGCCATTAACAATCGCAAATAATACTTGCTCCTAATGTTAACATTAATCATGCTTTTATTTTTTCTAAATAATAAAAATCAAGGTAAGTCTATATTTTTGAAGTGCAGGCTAAATGTATTTTCTGTTTGAAAGATACAACTCAATAAATTTTATTGCAATAATAATCGTATTTCAAGAACAGTTTTAGTTTGTTATAATAAATTTGTGGTTTCCGGCTCAATTTTTCTTAAAGCGAATTGTTTTAGAAGGCGTCTAATAATAAGAATGATGAAAGCGTTGAACAAAAAATTTCGCTGGAAAACTGATTATGCTTGTCCCACGTTTGGTTTCGTGTTTGGAGAATATTTAAAAATAACAAATATATGTATTTGTGAAAGAGAACTATACTTATTCATATAATGTGCTCATTATTGGTCACTTCATTTTTTCCGATTTTTTGAACGATCCTTTATATAATAATGAATATAAAATATTACGCATTCCTGAAAGATCTCTATCTGAAGATAAAGAATGAGGGATTGTTTTACGGATTTCTCGCTAATGATCTATTGTTTCGACACATTAAAAGCCGACGCTCGCTCAGTCGTATTTAGAGACAGATCAGATTCAATTATCTCCTTCAGTTCGTCATTTCATTGAAGTCAAAATTTCTCGAACGAAAACGTTAATTAGAATTCATATGCAAAAATAACACGAATTTTCACAGAGTCCGTGCTTAGAAGGCGATATTCCGAGAAAAACTCAATGAAAGAAAATAATATCCGATTTAGAAAAAGTAAAGGTAAAGACGTAATAAATAACAGTAAACTTTAAAGTAATAAATTAAATATTATTATATGTACAGCGTTGATTTATATTTGGTATCAAAAGTTTAGTATGTGTCGGTTTGGGGTTTTCACGTAAATACGTGAGCCACGGAATAAACTTAAAATTCAGGTACCGAAACACAAACATATGTGTCAAAATCAAAATTTTCTTTCGGAATTAGTTTTATATGGTAAATAGATAATTATAATGTTTCTGAGATCATCATGTCAATTAAAAGCCCTTTAAAAGCGCCATTTTAAAAATATTTAATGCGTTATTAGTTAATTATATCGTATCTTTAAAAACATCTCAAAGAAAAATCTGGAAAAAATCACATCGGTAAGTATATGAAGTACCTTCAATTCAATGAAAAGTTAGATTTTCTGCTTAAAGCCTTAAAGAATCATTTAAAATATTGCATGTACATTAAAAATGTGAAATAGAATAGAAAAAGTGTCGAATAATCAAAATGAATGTGTAAATGCAAATATTGCGCGACCAAACTTATGATTTAGGTGTTTTGTCATGGGACGGCGGCGTTAAGACGACACATCGAAAGGCTATCGCCGTACTGATCCGAGTGAATGCATAATTTCTATAAAAACTTGAAAAAATGTCGCCATAAGGTCTAAAATAGCGTAGCGCCCGCGACGATAAAAAGCGCTTAGATATTCTCAGAAACTTTAAAATATTTTTTTTTAATTATTGATTTAAGTAATCAAAATAATGAGCAAGTAAATTGTGAATATTGATGTTATGAATATATTGGAGTGATTCCCAAGTATATAGATTAAGTAATTTCGTTGTAATTTCAACTACAGTGATTTTTTAGAGGTGTTTTCGCAAATAATTATGATCGAGTCAAAATTATGCAATCGTGTTTTTGAACAATCAAATTCAAGATAAAGACATGAATTTAACTATATCAAAATTTCACTTTCCTTAGTGGTGTTATAGTATTTATGCTATTCGATGAAAGGAGGTGCATTTTTTCACGGTGTCGCCTTAAGTGGTGATTACGGTCGATAGCTAGGGGTGTCACCATCATCCTGACAACAACTCAAAATAATGATAAAAAACTGGGTTCCCATTACCAATCGTAGTAACTATGACAAGTATTCACCCATGAGGCAATCTATTTTTAGACATGGGTTTAAAAGGAAGAAGAAAATGGCGGTGGTACGGAACACTAATTGTCAAAATTTAATATGCACTCAACCGATTATCTGAACCATCATCATCATTATCATTACAACCCTCACAATTCCATAACTGAGCATAGGCCTCTCTCCAGAAGTGGCGCAAAACACGATCTTGGGCCACCTGCATCCATCGACTTCCTGCATGACTTACCTGGTTGTCATTCTACCTAGTGGAGAACTGCCCTACATTTCAGTAGAGGGCTGCCACTCGGAGCCTTTCTTACCCATCGATTGCCTGTTCTAGGTTCTTCGAACTTTCTTGCGGAGTTTTTTTCCCCGCGGTTTCTTATCTGATCAGAGGTATCTCGTCTGGAAACGGTTCTTTCGTTCTTCCTCGTCTATAATTCTTTAAGCGAAATTTTATTTTCTTACTTATTTAAGAATATTTCATTTCATTGTGAGCTGTATGACCAGCCTGTTATCACTTCTGTTTTTTCTTTTGTATAGACACTTAAACAATAAATAACAAGTTTGTTTTCTGCCGAAGCTACACATTCAAGGTTCATAGAAGTGCATACCTACGCCTCAAAAAGACTAATTAAAGAAGTTACCTACAAGAAATACGCAAAAGTTCGGGAACAACGCCAAAAAATGACGCATTTTCTTATTGTTGTTTGACAAGATACTGTTATGATTTAGGTACTTTTTAATAATATATCTAGATGACTGACGATAAAAACTGTGATAGCTCTGCTTTGGGGCTAAACGCTCCCAGGATTTTACTTAGAATCCGGGTTTGATTTGTGCGGGCACCAATCTAATTATATATTGCAATTTTGAATGTTAGTAAAAACAACGTGCGGAGATCAACATGTCTGAACAATAAAAGTATTTTGAATTCGAATATATTTATCAAGACAAAGAGCAGCGCGACGGGCTGATTACACATAAGTTTACTTTTTGCTGATTATTTAATATAAACCTTATTTAATTCCAATATCATACAAGTTATCAGAAGAAATAGTATAACAAAGTTTATGAGTTTAATGACCACCGCTTAAAGAATCAACATTAACATATTATACCTATAATCAGAATTCGCATGAAACGCTACTCACGCAAAAACACCACCGTGAAGTTCGTGACGCCATTCAATGCACCACGACGTTAAACAGACGTCCGTTTGCGCCAATCCAGTTAATATCATTTATTACATTCGTTGTTCCATTTATCGCATACAATTGAACGAGTCAAAATCAGCCAGCACTAATTCGGCTCCTACTTTATATTCATATGAATAAGAAACGTCAATATAGCACGGCAATTTAAAATCTACTCTATAAGAATTAAACATTCATAAAAATGGAGTACAAACTTTATTTTTACACAGATCACAGATTTCTTAGACAGATCATAAATTTAAATAATCACAAACGTCAAAACTAAAAAATTATTCAATTTATTTGAATTAATGAAATTTTATTGAATTTTCGTAAGTAAGGTCTTCGACAAAACATCATAATATTATGATCCCGCTATTTTTCAAAATGAATTCAAATAGATGAAATTTGGCATAATTAATTTATTATAACCAATGCAATGATTTCAAAAGGAAGGATAGACCCATCTAAATATTTTACTCATAAGTTTTTCATACAAGAAAAAGTAGCGTATCTGTCATAATACAAACGTCATATCAAAACACGACGTAACCAGGATCGGATTTCGTAGTATAATTATCCTAATTGTGCCATTATTTCATAGTTTGTAGTATATAGTATCGTAATAATACTAAACTAAAATACCATAATTTAACATAAAGGTCAACTTGTATTATAATTTGGGTCCTTTTACATTTTAACATTACCTACGATATCAAGAATTTCTATATTGTTAATGAGTACCGCGTATATTTTAAATAATATAAGAATTAGCTCCCATTCTGGTCAATTGATGCTCGATCGATGCATTTATGTTGCATCCTTGATACAACTATAATGACTTGAAAACAGAATTTCAAAATATTTTATGAATCACATTTTCAGATTTAATTAATCTGATATGGTTTCTTTTGTACTCTTTTCGTTTTAGCCTTATTGAATGTAAAATATATTAGGTACCAATATTCAAAATGTGACGCCAAAATCCCGGCACATTGGAAAAAAGAAACATGAAACTTCAAATGTGATATATTTTTTTTCAAATAGTGTTACATGACGTCGACTTATTCGCGCAACAATAGTATAATTTTATTTTCCATGTACAATATTTTTGAGGGTTTAGAACCCGCATTAACTAAACTGTAAAATAAAACTTTAAAAATGCGTTGATATAATAATTTAACTGTAACAAAATTTATATAAGGTTATTTACCAATGATACGATATCCCATGTTTTATTAAAATCTTTGTATCATAATTTTTGCATTCTTTTACTGCACAACTAGACATACCTATTTATGACAGGCAAATCTGTCCTGCGCGCGCACCACTGTCGACCGATTCGCGTTGGCCCTAAACGGTAATTTTAGGGCCAGCGTACTGGTCCGTTTTAGTTGTTCGGCCGACCCGGTCCTTACGCTAGTAATATATAATCAATGAACCAATGTAGTAAATAGTAGCCATGTATCTTAAAGAATCTACAACTGATCAGAAAGAAAAGTTCTCTAACGGCAGCCCTAGTCTTTGGCGGGGTTTGTGTTCAGCAGTAGAGTGCAATCATGACGATGAAAATGATAATACAAATAGATAAACTCAATCCGTTACATTTGTAAATAACGCAAAAATTATACGCTTCATAATGTTATGAGACTTCGCATTTCAGAAAATTATATAATTGAAAATGCCTTGCCCCTTGCAAAGCAAATAAAGTTCCATAAAGCAAAATTGTGAAATTTATGGCGAGTGCTTAATTTCTGAACTACCACTACCACAGCTCCGACATACTTTCAATAAGTTGACCCCTTGACATCAATATGTCATAAATAATTTACAATATTTAATATAAACGCCTCTTACATTTAAATACACATATGACATCAGTGGTTAATAATATTAATTTATTATGCTTTCAAGTTCATTGCGTCGCGTCCATAATGATTCCAGAAATTATTATGAGCTTGAATAAAATAGTTTTTAAAATTAACAAGTTTTGATACGATTATACAATATTTATATCTTATACACTGTCGAATGTTATTGGTTATTGTCATTTTTAATAGGTAGTAATATTTTTATGATTTTTAGTTTACCAAGCCTAAATTAGCTAATTGAAGACATAGAATCTCCTCGGCGTTTGCCTGTCACGTACGTTATCCTCGCAGATTACTTGAAATAGTTATTAAAATACAGTATTTAAAAAAAATCAATCACGAAATACTGACGTATAATTTAACATGTAATTATTTTTAAAGTGATATTCTTGGAAAGTAAAAGTGGAAAGCCAAAATTGGAGACATTTCTGCAAAGATTTTGAAGCACCCTTTCAAAAAACGTATAATTGCCTAATCACAAAAGTACCTTTGTATTGTCAAAAATATCGCTAAAAAATTAGAGAAAATAACGTCTATTTTTTTGACCTTTTAAATATCAGTATAAATTCATATTTACTTAAAAATAAATTATCAGATTAGTATTTTTATACATATAAATGCTGCCAACTTTACTGTCAAAAGGATCGTTTAAAAAATCATAAACATTGGAAAATGGGCCAATTTCAGGCACAGACATAACGCGTCAAAATTATTAGGATTACTCTGCGTGATAGACTTAAAAATGAGGATATCTGCAATAGAATCAGAGTAACCGACTTAGCCCAACGGATTTGTAAGCCGAAATGGAAATGGGCCGGTCGTGTAGCTCGAAAAACCGACAACCAATTTGGAAGAAAGAGTGGCAGCCTCGTACCACTAACACAGAAAGTAGGCGAAGTGTAGGGCAGTCTCCTACTTGGCTGGTCATGGATGCAGGAGGCTCAGGACCATTCTATTTTACATGTAGTATTTTTTAACTTAATATATTCTGTAAAAATGTAATTGTCAGGGTCCAAATTTATCCACGGCGACCTTGATATTGCTCCGTCTGGGCTAAATATTTATAGCCGGCTCCTCAGTTTGCTCCAGGTGAAAGAATTAATTGTGCTGTAACAATATTATGTCATTTTACTCTAATGTAAACATACGATAACAGCCGAAAAGTAAATAATGTGGTGAATTAACCAACATTTTAGTATTTACAACATTTTTGGAGAATTTTATGATGATTGTTCTGCTTGGGTACCTCCTACGTCAGTATATATGTTAACGCTAAAATACGTATATAAGTTAGAGTGCAGATTAACTAGTTAATCTGCAGATTACCCGGCTGTATCCGTGAAAATGCGCAAAAATATTCAGCCCTTACTTTAACTAAATAAGTTAGTTTTATCTACAGATTTCCTAGGTAAACGACTAATTCCTGGGTAATCTGCGTAATAACGACTAAACATTCGTTTACACTGTAATTTCTACAATAGGTTACCTTAACCTGAGGCTGAGGAGGCCCTTGGGCTACTCCAAGACTGCGTACATTATAATGATGTAAAATATAATATTGAAAGAATTGATCTTTTAATATACAAAATTCAAAAGTTGTTTTGTCTAATATTCTTGGTCAAAACCACTTTTAACCGACAGAAATTTGACGAAATCACTATTACCCAAAGGCTATATAACCATATGGTTATATTCTTTATGCTGTTACTCAATATTTTTGCAGTTTTGACCAAAGTCCTTAATCAAAACTAGTTTTCACTGCAAAAATTATTTGCAATACAATCATTTCTCTATCTTACGCGATTTAACAGTTTAGTATCTGTTAATATTATGCAGCTTAGCTAGGTAAAATGCAGATATTTGCTACTATAAGTATAATTTCGCTCATTAACGGATCGCACCAGATAATCTGCAGATTATCCAGCTATCATAACACATATTATTACAGTAACACATATTCTAAACCAATGGATACCTGCAATGTTTTGTTGTAAATTGTATAATTTTTAGATATTAAAAACTAAAACGGAAAGTCAACGCAAACTAAACTCGAAAACAAACTCTCTCTACATAAAACGTTATTTTGTGCAATGTTTACGAGCGAAAAAAAGTCTAGGTATCGATTGTTTTTGTGGTATCACTAGCATCAATAAAATGGATGGTTTACATTGCCTTAAATCACATGGGTGGCATGTGTGAGATGAATGACGGAAAGAAACTAGAGATGGACAGCAGATCTTTCTAGTAACATTCTTCCTCATATTCATGATATTTAGTTTTAGCGATTTGTAAAACTAATTAAGTTTAATTAGAAGACTACATTAAAATAGTAGGTAATTAATTAGTAAATTCTAATACAATTGTGTTTTTGCAGAACAATCTACGGCATATGGACTGTTCAGAAAGACAGGTCGTTTTACGCCCCCTGCGCGGTCTATTCCACGATTCAGAAAATATAATATAGAAGATTTCCAGTTCATCAAGGTACTGGGCAAGGGCAGCTTTGGTAAGGTATGTAGAAATCATAGATGTTTGGTTTAATGTAAAGCATCTTGCATAATCAGGATGCTTGAGCCTGTAATATCGATAACACAAATTAAATTATTACAAAGATCTTAGGTTCCCATTATCTATTTATATTTTTTACCGACTTCAAAAAGGTGGAGGTATTCTATTCGACTATATGTATTTTTTATGTATGTTACCTCATACCTTTTTGCTGTACCGATTTTGATGATTCTTTTTTTATCTGAAAGCTGGTGCTTCACGTGTGTGGTCTCATATAAATTTAATCAAGATCTGACCAGTAGTTTCTTCTCCAGTATATGGTTATGTTTAATAATGCGTTTAATCGACTTCTAGTATATTGATTCAGTCGTATTGAAGTCGGTTGTACAAAACTATTTATTTTTACGACTTGATGTCATTATTTTATTTTGCACTTGCGTTCGTATTTGTATTGTATCATACCTATTAAAAGCTTTAAAGGTGAGATAAGAAATGGAATGCTAAGATTCGCGTGAGAATGAAAATGAAACTAGTGTGTGTATAGGCCCTATCATAGAACTCACATTAGGGCAGTTTCTTGCAAAGCTGTCTTAATGTAACAATTAAAGCTAAGCCACTATCTTATCTAACGCCACATTTTCGTATAGGCGTTCTATTCTGCCTAGAAATCCGACTGGATTAGTCCAGTGGGTTAGTAACAGTACAGAAATAGTTGAGAGCAAACTATTTCTGCTGTCAAACTGTAATAATACATCCACTACTTAATTCTCGGTTGAAGATTAAGATTTTAACGTGGTAGAGCCATGTTGCGGCTATGTTATTATGGTTGTAGCACGAATGGGTCGGTGCGACTGGGATAGGATCACGCTTTCACAGAATACCAGCGTAAAATAGCATCTTAATGCTGCTGTGTTTCGTATGGCGAGTGTAGAGAACCGGAGACTCTTCTTACTGGAAGAGGCACTCCATCTTAATCCTCACGACTAACAACGCATCTGCATTTTGATTAGCAAACGAGGATAGATGTAGATGTCTATGGCTCACAGCAACCACTTACCATCAGGTGGACTGTGTGCTCGCTTATCATCACCCTTATCCTATAAAAAAAGATAGAATAGAAAGTGTTAGTACTTAGAACGTCTTTGTGTAAAATAGTTTATCAAAAAAAATTGTTTAAAACTTTTTTTATATCACTTATATAGTTTATGTGATAATGTAAGAGTAAAAAAAATTTTACCATATTTTGGGATAAAATATAAATCACACCTGGCATTGTTCGATGTTTGTGAAGTTTCATTTTGTAATGAAACTTCATCGATTGTTCGATTCAGTCACCTAAAGATTGGCGCGGACAGACAGACAAATGCTTGTTCAGGTCTTAATAGCAAGCAAATAAACCCCCCCCCCCCTATCCCCCAACTGAATAGAAGCCAGTTATTTCGATATTACAGACAGACTAATTTATGTTTTATGTGTATAGGCTGGCGACCCGCCCCGGCTCGCCTGGATGCGATCCATTGATGTGGTGTCATTTAGGTTTAAGATAATAAAGATATTTATAAATATGTATATTATGTATATATATATATATATATATGTTGTATGTATATATATGTATATATATATATATATATATATATATATATATATATATGTGTGTATGTGTGTGTGTGTGTTTATGGAATGAACTGGAATTAGAGCATATGAGGAGTACATTGGAAGAGGCGATTGTGGAAACGCGCAGTACGCCTCTCGAAAATCGACCACGACTTCCCCGCATAGCCCTAAGCAAGCGGAATCGGGCTGTCGTGAGGGCTCTGAACCCAATGCAGGTGACCTATTTGGAAGCCAGCCGGGACCTTTGCGAGACGGACTCAATTCTTTTTGGCGCCGCGCTGGCAGTCTGCCGTATCATAGGCGCCAAGGTTTCCACGGCTGGACGCGCTACTGGCCATAGTAGCGCTATCCCAGCATGGAGAAGAAGAATAGAGGAACGTATCGCAAAGGCTAGAGCTCTCATCGGCAGACTGATATGCTTCAGATCAGGCAATAACAGGCCAAGTATTGTGCGCACCGTCAGGATGGCGTTTGCTGGGACAAATGTCAGTTTGTCCCAGCCGGATATAACACAAAAACTGACGGAGCGCATAGATGATCTGAAGCAGAGAATAGCTGCTTGGGGAAAGCGGATTCGGCGATATACCGAGAGGTCGACACGGTTCAACCAGAATCGTCTCTACCAGTGTGATCAGAAGAGGCTCTATGCATCATTGGAGCAACCAATAGTAAGTGGAACGGGCCCAGCACCGAATCAGGCCGACACTGTAGCATTCTGGCGCGGCCTGTGGTCAGAGCCCGTAAACCACAGCGAGGGCCCTTGGACGGAAGTTGTGGCGAGTCAGTGTGCGGATATTACGCCCATGGACCCCGTCATCATAACACCGGATGACGTAGCTGAGGCGGTCCGTAGGGCCCCGAACTGGAAAAGTCCGGAGCTTGACGGGCTGCATCACTACTGGCTGAAGGGGTTCATGGTGTGCCACTCTGTGCTCGCCCGACACTTTCAAGAGGCTCTCAACCAGAAGTCGCTCCCAAGCCTCTTCACTACTGGGATCACTCATTTGGTTCCTAAAGTCCAGGGTACCACAGACCCGAGCAAATACCGCCCCATCACGTGTCTACCGACCATATACAAGACACTAACATCCATTTTGAGCGCGAGAATCACTCGTCACCTGGACTCAAATCAGGTGATGTCGCGTGCTCAAAATGGATGTCGGGGCGGTGGTCGTGGAACCAAGGAACCACTCCTCATTGACACGGTCATTGGCAAAGTAGTGAAACGCAACCATCGGAACTTCTCCGCCGCCTGGATAGACTACAGAAAGGCATTCGACTCGGTGCCCCATACATGGCTAAAGAGAGTCCTCGAGCTGTACAAGATAGACTGTACAGTTAGAGACTTCCTCGAGCAGTGTATGGGGCAGTGTACGATCCTTTGTCATCTGGGCGAGCGGAGGATGGCTGCGGAGAACCACATAAGGATAAGAATATCTTCCAGGGCGATTGTCTGAGTCCAATCTGGTTCTGCCTCTCTCTGAACCCTCTCAGTACCTTACTGGAGGGCTCCGGGAGGGGATTTCAGCTACGGAAAGGAAGGACAAAAGTGACCCACCTTTTTCTATATGGATGACCTCAAGTTATTCGCCTCCAGTCGCTCCCATCTTATGGAATTGCTAAACATCACTTGTGAATTTAGCAATTCCATTGGAATGGAGCTGGGGACGGATAAGTGTGCGGTCCTCCATGTTGAAAGGGGAAGGGTTGCTAACTCTGAGGGCATAGACTTATCTATGCCCGTCAACTTAAGAACCCTTTCCGAGGCTGAAACATACCGATACCTGGGTATGTCACAAAACATCGGTATCGATGAGACTGGTATGAAACAGTCAGTTTGCGACGTGTTTTATGCACGCTTGACCAAAGTGCTTAACAGCCTTTTTTTCCGGTGTGAATAAGGCACACGCATATAATGGCTGGGTCATGCCTGTCCTCATGTATATTTTGGCATACTCAGGTGGACTCAGACTGAACTTAAAGCCCTGGATAGAAAAGTCCGCACTACCATGACGTCCCATAGGATGCATCATCCGAGATCGTCGGTAATGATGCTGCACTTGCCGCGGAAGCATGGTGGTCGTGGCTTCTTGAGCGCGCTCACCATGCATAATCGCGAAGTGTGCAGCCTCCGTGATTACTTCCTGGCGAGATCGGATGATCCATTCTATAAGGACGTCATTTTTTGTGATAAAGGACTTACCCCTCTATCCTTAGCCAACGAGCAATGGCAAGACCCGACAGTGCAGAGCATTTCCGACCGGGAGACCGTATGGAAGGAGAAGGAGCTCCACGGGAGGTTCTACAAGGCTCTACATGAGCCTTTCGTAGACACAGTAGCCTCCCTCAACTGGCTACGCTTTGGCGATCTCTTCGGGGGAAACCGAGGGTTTTGTCTGTGCAATACAGGATCAGGTTATTAAGACCAACAACTATCGGAGATACATCCTAAAGGATGGCACCGTCGACATCTGTCGAGCTTGTCGCCATCCCGGTGAGTCACTTAGGCATGTCATCTCCGGTTGTTCGGCGCTTTCTAACTCTGAGTACTTGCACAGGCACAACCTAGTAGCCAGAATTCTTCACCAGGAGCTCGCTCTGAAATACGGTCTCGTGAATCGGAAATTGCCGTATTACAAGTACTTGCCGGAAGCCGTGCTCGAAAATGATCGCGCCAGGCTCTATTGGGACCGGGCCATCATCACAGACAGGACTATTCTTGCGAATAAGCCTGATATTGTGCTGATGGACCGGGCACAGTCAAGGATATTTTTGGTCGACATTACCATTCCGTATGACGAGAACCTCGTGAAAGCCGAAACAGATAAGCAAACAAAATATCTGGACCTGGCTCACGAGGTGACCGACATGTGGGGTGGTCTGCCGACCGAAATTATTCCTGTAGTCGTCTCTGCGAACGGGCTAATCCCAGTTAGCCTCTCGGGTCATCTGAGGCGGCTGGGACTACGTGGCAGACCGCTCCAGGCTCAAATGCAGAAGTCGGTGCTCCTCGATACCGCCCGCATCGTCCGCCGGTTTCTTTCCCTTTCCCCCTAACCCTCGGCCGTTTGGTCTCCCCTGCCGAGGGCCTCCATCTGGTTGGGCTTTTATTTATTTATTTATTTTTATATTTAGTTTATGTTATTGATATTTATGTATATTTAACTTTTCATTTTCATTTATAATTATATATTTATGGAACCCAACCAGATGAGAAAACTATGTTGATATCCCACAATAATAATAATATAAAACACGAACATATATACAGAAAAAAACCAAAATGGCAAGTCAGATTAGAAAATAAAATCGAAAATTTAATAGCACACATAGGCAGAATGACACAGTTCATTAATGGTAACAGAAGTAAAAAAAAAAGTAGTTGC